ATATCGTATCGTGACCCCTCTGTTATGATATGTATCATATCGCCAAATTCTTGCCAATACACAGCCCTATTGCACAATACCCCCTCCCCTTTAAAGAATTAAAAAACACATTTTTTTTTTTCAAAATTTCTAATTGAATACATTTGAATGACAAAGTGTGGAAGTTAAACTTTTCGTCCAGCCGTCTCAGTCGTGTCTTTGGGCTACAATGTATCCAGTGTGTGAATGAGTGAATAAGTAAGTGTAAACAGCTTCGGGGTCCGGCTCTATAAGTTCAGTTCTTTTACCAAATGACAACAAACACATYGAAGAAACTATAATGCTGACTCAGCTGATTTCATGTGTGTCACCAGGTTTAACAGAGTTGATAACCGTTGTGAAGACGGCCGTGCAGAACTCACTGGGAGGGTGAGCGCCTTTTAATCAGTTAATTAATTTATTAATTAGCCCATAAATGTCAGAAATATTGAGTTAAAGGTCCAGTTTTGTCCTGTGTGAGCTGTCGAACAGCTGCTGATGATGAGTTTTGTGTTCAGCGTCTCTCTGAAGCAGAGCTTGTCTCTGCTGGAACTGGAGCAGCAGCTGAGCTGGATCCGAGCCGAGGTGGAGGCGGACCCGGACCGGTCCCTGTCCTGGTACCTGCTGGCGGACGATGAGACCGCCCTGTCGGATCAGGTCAGGCGTTCAGCTGCGTTCAGGCAGGAACCAGTCCAAGCTGAGGCTGTGAAACGATGAATGTTTCCTTTTCTGCGTTCAGGCGTGTGGATTAACAGAGAACCATGTGATGACCATCAGATTACTGAACGAGACCAGAGACATGCTGGACAGGTGAACTCACCTGGTTACACCTGGTTTATTCTGTGTTTGTAAGGTTTTTAAAGGTTTCTCTGTTTTAACGTCTGACTTCAGTCCGGACTTCTCCACCGTGCTGAACGTCTGTCTGAGCCGAGGCTTCGCTCGTCTCCTCGACAACCTGGCTGAGTTCTTCCGCTCGCCTCCTGGAGACTCCGCCCCCAGCTCCGCACCTGACAGGTACCATGTTGGAGGAGCTTCTTATCAGCTCATTCAGTTTGTTTGATCTTTCTTCAGATTATTCTGATCACCAAGTTGTGTACGGATCCGTACACAGTGTGTATGGATCCATACACAGTATGTATTGATCCATTCACAGTGTGTATTGTTCCATACATAGTGTGTATTTTTCCATACATAGTGTGTATTGTTCCATACATAGTGTGTNTCCATACACAGTGTGTATTGATCCATACACAGTGTGTATTGATCCATACACAGTGTGTATTGATCCATATTTATCCGCACACAGTGTGTATTGATCCATACACAGTGTGTATTGTTCCATACACAGTGTGTATTGTTCCATACACAGTGTGTATTGAACTTAAATCACTGTACAGATACGTTGCAGCCCTTGTGTTTACTTGTGTATTTTGTGAGTTTTTATGTGATCCTGTTTCCTTTTAATTTTAATAAATGACTGTCACAGTAAATATTTTATTTGCATTATTTTTAACAGCTGTTTTTACGTTGTGTTTGTGTGTTTTTTCAGTTTGTCTGTTGTGAGTTTGCCGCTGGCGAAGATCATCCCCATCATGAACGGTCAGATCAACACCATCTGCAGTGAGACCCCCAGTCACTTTGTTCAGGTGAGACTCACACCTCGGCTCATCGTTTTATACACATAAAAACTGCAGAACATAAAGACTGCGTCACACAGGTCTGTGTAGAGTTCTACACAAGCTAAACCATGAAGGAAAATGTAAAAGTTTATATGGGATCAGAAGATTTCTGCATCGTTTTATTCTCTGCCTGAAGACAGAAAATCAGCTCATGTGACACAAAGCATCAAATCTCCTCATGAAGTTTCAGATTTATGCAGGGAAACTAAACTTAATGAGAATATTCAGAAACCTTTTTGTTTCTTTGTCGACCCTGCAGGACCTGCTGTTGAACGATCAGGTGAAGGAGTTTGCGGCCAACGTTTACGAGGCTTTCAGCACGCCCCAGGAGCTGCAGAAGTGACCACTAGGATGAAGAGGAGGAGGAGGAGGAGGAGGAGGAGG